AGGATCAGGTTAGAAAAGAGCCAGTGGTGGTCAGACTAAAACATGGCCTCATCAGTCAATGAAATCCACAAGTTAGTTGAAGCCACGTAGGATGTCGTAGACTTCCTGACTGGTTGGGGTCATCGGTACAGTAAAAACCAATGGAGGCTGGAGACAGTTGGTGATATGGCTCAAAATAGTTGTAAATGGCTGGCGGAGATGCATCCATTCCTTGTGACTTATAATACCCAGTAAAACTATATTATTCTTCGTTATTACTATTCCTTTTGCCTCACATCTCTGTTTACTGTCTCTGCTTCGCGTTTCTTTTTACTTTCTTCTCTTGCTTTGTGTGCTGAGTAAAGTGTGGTGACTCGAACTGCTGCTAGTCGGTGCAAAGTTCTTTGTTGAAAACGGACAGGCAGACAGCAGTTTTACATGATTCTCTTAGTCACTTTTATTTCCGCTGTTTTCCCAAGGCAAATATCGAATACAGATCGATTTTACAAAACGTTTCCCCTTCTTCTTTTCTTTTTTCCTTCACGTTCCCATTGGAACATAGGGCTTCAAACTAGTGGCTTGAAGTTTCCGTAGCAGTGTTTATTTTTAAAGGATGGGGTTGCTAGCCTTATACCCAACCTTTTCTCTTTACCAGCATTATTTCTGGCTTAGCGAGGTAAAAGGAGGGCGTCGGTGACCGGGGATCGAACCCCAGACCATGTGCATCGTCGGCGAGCGCCCTAACCGCTGTGCCACCGACGCATAGATGGTAGGAGGCAATCGGACACAGGAAGCCGTGGACCTAGGTTTCGTGCTAGTTGGCACTCACCAGTCAGCAATGCGTATCTGCAACCTTGAAGGAACTCATGTCCCTTCTGAGATTCGAACCCGCGTCACCCAGTGCTGTCTACAGTCAGAGACGTTACCACTGAGCTATTTAGGCTCAAATGTTTCCCCTAGTGTTTTTTTGAATAATGTTATAATTCTATTTGTAAGCGGGCCGACCTCTGCTCGCTCATATTCTGTAATTGTATGTATGTCACATATTCTAGTTTATTTTTTTTAAATTATTTTTTCTAGCTCGGAATTCAAATTACCTCGTTACTAGTTCATTTGATAAAACAGCTAAACTTTGGGGTCATCCTATTTGGGCCCCGATCAAAACACTTGAAGGACACAATAGTAAAGTTGTATACGCGGATATATCACCGGATAATAAATACATTGCAACGTGTTCACATGATTTAACTTATAAACTATGGAGTCGAGATGCAACCATCATCTAAGTGTGTGAGATTATTTCTTCTCTTTTCTGTTTTTTGTTTATTTACAAACACTTTTCATGCAAAAACTTGTAAAATTTATTTGTATGTGGATATATTTTAAAAAAAGAGAGAGAAATCCATATTTTCTTCTATCTCACACACACGCACATACCATTCTTCAGTAGCCTGACCTAGTGGAGTTTCAAGTTCCACGCATATGATAAACACACAATAATCTCTGAACAAAAGACTCGTCGATGTGTGTGTGTGTGCTATCCACTTAATTTGCGTGGGCGCTAGGATATAAGTTACTGGAAATCAAACTTTTCACGATTTCGTGTCAGTGTAGGTGTAGGAATAGAGGCGGTGGTCACCTTCAAATTCTCCAGTTACGGTTGTATTTTTTGTTATTATATGCCTAGAGGGGAATGCTCTCTCCTCCATCTTCTTATCAGATGTTATATTTAACTGTTTCAAAGGTTATTTGTTATACCAGCACATTTTTACACACACACACGCCGCTAGGAATATCTTTCGCAGCATTTGCTGTACATAGTATGCGTGAAAATGCATCGTAATGTCTGTCCGTTTTCGACGTAGAACTTTGCACTGATGTGCAGCAGTTCAAGTTGCCACACTCCCTCCATGTAACACACAAAGGAAGAGAACAAATGCATAATAGAGATATTAGACGGAGATATGAGACAAAAGGAATAGTAATAACGAAGAACAGTATGGTTTCATTGGATATTATGAGTCACAAGGAGTGGAGGCATCTAACTGCGCCAGCCATTCAGAACGATTTTGAGCCATATCACCGACTGTATCCAGCCTTCATTGGTTTGTACAGTCTCGAGGACACCAACCAGTCAGGAAGTCTACCCCTCCCTACGTGACTGGCTGCCTTAAACTAACTGTTGTGGATTTCATTGACTGATGCCATGTTTTGGTTTGACCACCGTTGGCTAGCCCTTTTCCAGCCTAAACTTATGTCAGCTAACATTTCCCGTCGAGTAAGGCGATGGCTAAGCATACATAACACATGTCCTAACCATCTCAGTCGATGTAGCTACACAGCCTTATCGATTGATTTCCCCTCCCTGCTTACCTAGCACTCGACCGATGCCTAACCTCAATATTGCTCACCGTATTATACCACTTCACACTGCCTAGTAATAGCCTGTTTCCCCAATCATTTGTTAGGGACAAAAAGAAGTATCCGTCTAGGTCGTATAGACTTTGCACAAATATACTGCCAGTTCAAGTTTTCGCACATCATAAAGAGGCACACATAGGCGGAACAAAAAACAGGAACGTTACGAAACTATTATAATAAACGGAAATGTATAGGAAAGAGAATTTAATAGGTCTACTCAACTGAGAACGACTTCGAGCTATATATATTTCGAGGACCCTAGTTAGGCAACCTACACTGTGCTACATGGCTTTAACCATGCTTTGGAATGACCACTTATCACTCACTCTACTGAAACCAGACAACACTGATGTATGGTTGGTCTTTTATCAAAATATCATTGAATTAGTCCGCTGCATGTGATAGTGTCGCGTTGGTGGTTCAGCGGTAGAACGCTCGCCAACCACCCATGTAGTCCGGGGTTCGATCCTCGGCCGGTGGCGCACTCCTAAATTTTGCTAGATCGGTAGTGAGGCCACTATAGAGGGAAGGTTTCGCGTGAGGCTAGTAACCCTGTCTCGTGAAAATAAAACCGCTGCTACTGAAACTTCAAAGCTGACCATGCACATGGTCCGGGGTCCGATCCCCGGCCACCGACGCACTCGTTTACCTCGAGCGATTCTGGGGACATCACTCGTACCAAATTCCCACGAAACTTCATAAACTCTCTTACAAATGTTCTGCTCCGACCAGATGACGATCTGGTCAAATCAGTTCTAAATCCCTCGCCATTACCATGTTGGCGATGTCGCAGGGGTGGACAGCTGAAAACATGGCTTGGTACAGTCAAGGCTGATATGGAGTGCCTGGGGCTACAAAACGTCTACGGACTCCGTCTGTGGAACAAGAATTGGATGACCCTGTATAAGATCGCCGCGCCTGGGCAGCGATGATTCGAGATGTTCATGAAGCCGGCTCATCCTCCCGTAGGAGATAGCCGAAGTAAAGTAAGTAAGTACCTCGGTAAGCCAGAAGTAAAAGCTGGTGAAGAGGGAAGGCTGGAGGGGCATAAGACTAGCAACCCCGTGTCGTAAAAGTGATAAACACCACTGCTACAAAAACTTCAAGCCCTACGTTACCCTTCGAAGCGTGAAGCAATAAAATAAATAATATTGTGATAGTGTCCGAGTGGTCATACGAAATAAGTCACCGCGCCTGACTTGACACGCACACAATAGACGAGCTCCCAACCCACAGCAACAACAAATACAACAGAACTCAATCAACAGTCTTTTATTTGTTTAAGAATAACTCAAATTATTAATTTTTTTAAAACTTTATACAAATAATACTGCACATTGTTGGTTGGTTCACAAATGATTTAAAAATTATCGAACAGTGAAAGTAGAACATTGCGCATCTCTGTAGGAAAACTTCGGGCGGGGGGAAGAAGGAGGCGAGCGAGGAGTAGTCAAATGTAATCGGTAGTATAATACAAAACACAGAAACAGCTAACAAGTATTTCAACAAAATGCGCTTCCCAAAATAAAACAAAAATAACCGGAAGAACACAGCAACAAATGAAAAAGAACAGAGAGAGAGAAAAAAAACCAGAAATTGAATAACTGTCAAGTAGTAATGCAGTAGATGACATGGCATATTTCTGCATGCAATACTGTTCCATCATTATCGCATCAACATCATCATTTAGGTAATGGAAAAACAACAAAAGAGAGAGAACACGCCTCCTTCTGCTGCTCCTCCTCCTGTCGTCGTCATCGCCGCCGCTCCCTTCATTCAACAAAACATGAACAAAAATTAACCCACTAAGAATGATTGCACAAATATTTTGGAGAGAGAAAGAACATAAAAACAAACAGTAGAGAGACGGAGAGGAGAAAAAATAAGGCAAAAACAAGTAAACAAACAAACAAGACCTTTTTCTAAAGAGTATTTCATGTGTGTGTGAGTGTTTGTTAATACTGAACAAAAGTTTATATCGTTGCTGTTGTTGTTGTGGGGCTGTTATTGTAATAATAATAATGATTAGTAAAACTTATAATAATAAATAGTAGAATACAAATGCGGGTAGACTACAAATTATTTGCACGATAAAACAGAGAAGAGGGGGAGGCATAAGGCATAGAACAAAACGGGATGAGAAACATTTTTCTTGTTTTAATTAAATCTATAGATAGAGTCCTAATGCAAAAAGGGAAAATACACAAACAAACAAGCAACACACACGTAGTAGAAGTAGTAGGGAGTATCAGTAAGTAAATCAAATACAGCATCTAACAATTAATTATTAAATGGGCGCAAAATTTCTGAAGTAACAAATCAACGGAAACAAAATTAACTAAATATAAATATAATATTTATTGCAATTGAGGTGAACCACACAGTAAGTAGGTCGACGGGGGATTGTTGTTGTTGTTGTTGGTGGTGGTCGGTCATGGGTTGAGAAATGGAGTCGCCTAAAAGCGAACTAGACTAGAAGTATGTAGAGGTGTGTGTGTGTGACCCTGAAAGCGACAGATTATTCATGGTCATCATTCCAGCAACTTTATGAATATGTATAATATTATATATTGCACAATTATGTACAAGGTAAGGCTAACTAAGTTTCCACAACATACATTTGTGTGTGTGTGTGATTTCAATTTATAGCTTCTGATACTTGATGAAGAGGTTTTGGTGGTGGTGCTTCACTAGGATGTGTATCCAAGCTAAGCGTCATTGTAGACTCTGACATTGAACTGTCTTCACTGGAGTCGAGATTGACACAACCCGATTGTTTTTTGAAACTTTGTATCTGACTCATACCCATTAACAGATGAGCTGCATCAACGGCTGTTTGTTCACTAATACAAAGAAAATTTTAAGAAATTCATTATTAAAAAAGCGAAAATAAAAGCATAATCACAATTTATTATTATTATTAAGTTATTTTGTAAGGGGACTTGAGATGTTTGAAGTGTAATTACAGATTGATATCAGTTAGAGAAGCATTGCAACACCCTCAGGGAGTACTGGGTAGCTTTTTCCTCCCAGTCTGCAACTCATCGGCAGTACGCACCCACCACAGGGGTTCGAATCCAAAACCTACCAGTTACAGGACAAATTGCTTGTAGTCCATTCATCAATCACTAGGACTCGACTCAATGGTTCTCTAGCTGATAACAATCTGTAATCAAACTTTTAAAAAAACTCTTAAAAATCGATTAATTATTAGTTACAAGAGTGAATCCATGCACTTTTATCTACTCAATTATGAATGAAGCAATGAGTTTCCATTTATTATTATTACTATTATTATTCTACCTAAGAATTGCATATATGCTAATTTAAAGATAAACGTACATATAATGTTTGTAGCGCATAACATGGTTAATATGACTTATTAACTTAAGCACCTAACCTCACTATCTGTCTGTTTTCGACATAGAACTTTGCACCAATGTGCAGCAGTTCAAGTCGCCACACTCCCTCCATGTAGCACACATAGCAAGAGAAGAAAGTAGGAGAAATGCATAATAGAGATAGCAGACAGGGAGATGAGGCAAAAAGAATAGTAATATCGAAGAACCATATAGTTTTATTCGGTATCATAAGTCACAAGGAGTGGACGCATCTGCGCCATTGAGAACAACTTTGAGCCTTCAATACTTTTTACCGTCCCAACGACCCCAACCAGTCAGGAGGTTTACACCTCTTAACGAGACTGGCTGGCTTAAACTAACTGTTGTGTATTTCATTGACTGGTGCCATGTCTTAGTTTGACTGCCGCTAGTTCTTTTCCAGCTTGACCCTATGTCAGCTAACATTGTCGTCAGTCGACGAAGCCCATGTGACTAGGCATACGTAACACATGTCCTAACCATCTCAATTGATGTAACTTCACAGCCTCGTCTATTGATTTCCCTTCTTTACCTAGCACTCAACGCCTGACCTCAATGTTGCTCACGTCACGGGAGATAGAATTCAGGCACCTATGATCAAAGATAGCTAGCCAGCCTTTTCATGTCTTCCACTCTCAATGGCTATGTCCCACTCACAGCCATAAAGGAGGACGGAGCGGACTGCTGAGCCGGATACCACGTCTACGCCAGAGACGGCGTAAACTGGCATATGTGAAACGAGCCTTCTGTATCCGTGCAGAGATTTCGTCAGCGATCAAACCGCTGGCGTTGGCTGATGCAACTTCCTAAATAAGTGAACCGATCAACGTGCTCTACCACTTCACTCCCTATTTCTAAGCTAGGAGTCAGTATAGTCCAGTCCTCACTGTCACCGATCCTGATCTGAAACTCTGTTCGGATTACTGCAGTTTGAGTAACTGGATGGCACCATAGTCTGTTCAACATTAAGCACAACGCAGTTTATGATCTAGTACATGAATAAAATATTTATCGAGTAACTGATCCGCAATAAGGCCGGAACTTTTCACGCAGACTGACTGCAAACATTAGAATACGTTCCGGAGAACTTATTGTTGATGATTAGTATGAGTGATAGAGTGTGTCGATGGCGCAGCGATAGAATGCTCGCCAACCCTCACATGTGGTCCGGGATTCGATCCCCGACCGACGCACTACCAGACCCCGCTAAGCCAGTAATAAAACTGGTAAAGAGCATCATGCTAGCAACCCCATCCTGTAAAAGTAATAAACACCACTGCTACCGAAACTTCAAAGCTGTAGTTTGAAGCCATATGGTCAACTGAGAACCCAAAAAAGGATAGAAAAAAGAGTGATACAAAATGTTTAACAGAGTACATCTCTGCTCAGTTGTACCTTTTTATGATAATGAGCAATACACTAAGTCACTGTATAGTATCGAATGAATTCTTTTACACTATAGTTGAAACTTCACAAGGGAACTCAGGCTCTATTCTTGTATACGGCGTAACAGCTTAAATGCTATATGTGTTTAGCCCTAGGAAAATCGATTACATCAGGGAAATAATGCGCAACTTCCGTTCACGATATATATGTTAACTTGTTGGTCTAATTCAACAGCAGCAAAAGTATCTGACTAGTTAACAGCGAGAAATTGTTGAAATAAACTCTAACACATTGCAGATATATAGTTCCGACCTCAATACAGTGGTCAGAAACAGACGCTTTAGAAAATTTCAATCCCCGATTATTCATCCATATAAATCAATGGTAAGTATCCAGCTTTTCAGGACTTTTAATTAACAAGTGGAATATGAGAGTAACATTAAGAACAACCACTCATGATTCTCGAAAGTGTTGGAGAACAATATTCAGACGACTGTGATCATCTTCTGCAGTTCTGTTCAGATAATCATCTGTTCTTAATCAGCAGGAACTTTAGGCACAAAGAGAGACACTGCGTAACCTGGCGACCTCCATCACCAAATCAACGCTGGACTCAAATAGGCCACTTGGCCATAGGGTATTGTTGGCGAGGGTCAGTAGAGGACTGCCACTCCTTCTGGAAAACGTGAAAAGACTCCGATCACGCCTTTGGTTCGCGCACGGTTGTGTTTACAATTAAACAGACTTAAAAAATTCTTGGCAGCGAAGCAGTTACGCCCCCAACTAGATCAAGACACCAAGTCCCTATTTGAGGAAGAAATGACGAAACGAGTATCTGAGGTCGACAGAAAGACCCCTCCTGAGGAAGCCTGGCTGGCGCAATATACAGTTAGCTGTAAAGGCTGTTAGTAGCCTGAAACCCAAAGTTAGTAAAGGCCAGCAGATTTCCACCACATCATCTGAAATTATTAAAGCAAGTTGACTGATTCTAGCGAGCTCCGAATATGATGAGGAGCGAAAGCTGCTCAAACGCAAACTAACCAGAAGTCTTTGCAACGACCGTGAACAGTGATGGGCGACAAAATCGAAAGAGATGGAAAAGGCATCGGCGATAGGTAACACCAGACAACTATTTAGACTTATCAGGGAAACATGTGGTAAAAGGCAAATGATAAGTGAAACAATCCCTTAGAAAAATGGCACCATAATTAGCTTCCAGGATAGACGACTGGAACGTTGGAAAGAAAACTTTGAGAAGCAATTTAATTGGCCTACAGCCACCCTCAACCTACTGAGCATTCAACACCTCCCTGAACACAGGTCGTCCGTCCGTGACTGAGGTCAAAAAGTTACCACTAGTCTGAAACGAGGAAAGCAGCGGGACCTCATGGAAGGATCCGAGAGGTGTTCAAGGATGGTGAGGAAGGCTTACTGTATGCCTTAACTAAGGCTTTAGGCAGCATCTGGGAATCAGACGAAGTCCCGTCGGGTTGGTGTAAGTCATTGATTATCCCCATACACAGGAAGGGAGACAAGTCTTCCTTGGCAACGAATCCAGTATAGGAATAAGAACAATGAAGGATGGATTAAACGCTCATGAATATGACACGAAAGATAGTAAGTTAGGTTAGTCACATTATGAGATGTATATACACATAGAGTAGTGACATATTCTGATTTATCTATCTATGGAAAATTCGCAGACTTGTCTTACTTTAACTAAATGACTACAGCTGTCAAGCTGTGGCGCACTAATTTACGGACTCTGAGTTGATAGGTTTAAATCCTATTCCACCTATGAAGGATGGTATCATGAATTCTCCCAGAAACAGGTGTAAGTCAAGAGGGTCGGAGCGGTTGAGAGACACTACCCTTGGCCAATACTACTTGTCAAGGGTGGATGGGATAACACACACCTTTGAATTACTTTGTACTTTCACATCTAAAAAATACACAGAAACAGATACACTTGTAGTCAAGTGCATTGAGTATGTTATACGGCTGCTTCAGACGAACAGGGGAAATCATTGCATGGATAGGCAAATTTGCTGAGTGAATTTTGTTTAACGATGTGGATGAGATGGTGGTCAGTTTTCCCACCCGCCGCCATCAATTGTTAGGACATAGTCATAATTATTTTCAAGCCAACGATTGCTATACTTCTTGATATGTAGAGCTGAGCAACGCTGACCTCTGGGAACTGTTTATCAGAAAGGCGTTTCGAGCACTCCATCTATACTCTAAAAGGATATACAATCACTGTTCTAAGCAGGCAATAGGGTCACAGATAGATTCGTTTAATTTTCTCATTTAACTTTGAGTTTACTAACGACGACATTCTAAAACTGAATTCAAAGAAAGGTCACATGCTCTTAATTAAGCGAATAATGTTTTCTCTTAATTTATCAACTAACAATCAATGTATGTACGATGTTATTCATCATCAATATAAGAGATTGGATGCATTTAATGCTTGCAGCCACTGTTATAGATTTGTGTATTTTGATGGTTGTTTGTGCAGATGATCGTGTGGCAAACGAGATGTCTAACTGAGAAATGACCATTGAAAGTGGACTATATGAAAAGGCTAGTAGTTTTCGAACACATATGTTCCCGTTTTATCTCTCGTGTTAAATAGCATTATATAGTGGGTAATGTTAATGTTAAGCATCGAGGACAGTTTACTGTCTGCGTTAACTAAGGTATTAGACAGCATCTGGGAATCAGAGGAAGTCACGTCGGGTTGGTGTAAGCTATTGATTATCCCCATATACAAGAAGGGAGATAAGTCTTCCAGTGATAATCACAGGGGGATTAGCTTGACTAATATGGTATCTGAAGTTCGAGGCTCGATAATCATGTGCAGACTGTGGTGCTCGGGATAAACAAACACGAGAGAACCAGGCAGGCTTTAGATCAGGAAGAGGGTGTATCGACCATAATATCTTCACCCTTCGATAGATTCTGGAACGTAGGCATACTTACAGTTGGCGTCCAACAATCATTATATTTCTTAACCTGAAGGCGTCATTCGATTCTGTCGATCGAGAGGTACTATGGCGATGTTCTGCTGTGAA